CATAATAATCATATTGTACTTTTCTTTCCGTTATAATATTCATATAAAATTATAACATTTTATTAAAATTCAACATTTAAAAATTTTTCCAACAAAGTTATATATCATTATTCATACATAAAACAATGATTGTTAAATTGAGTATATTAATTTTAAGTGGATATTAATTTTTTTTCTGTATGTTTACTTTTTTGCCCGACCATATATTTGATTTATTTGCCCGAGCATATTTCTAACATGAAAATGGTAATAATATGCATATAATAATATCATCACCAACATTAGAGTTTAAGGAAAAAATTGTTTTGTTGATCATAATTTATAATCATTATTTCTCTGTGTGTTGATGTAATTCATTAAGTACATGCACGTAAAAGGTGTCTAAAAGACAAGGAGGGTCTAAAGTGGACCTTAACGTTATACTTTAACGTAAAAGTAACTCGTGTACTTAAACTTCACTCGACACGCCCGTAAGCATCGTTTTGTTACGCCGCCGACGTCGTTGCTGCTGCTCCGTCTGAAAATCCGCTTTACGGCGAGTTCGAGTATGAGGTCCTGTTAAACTTTTAACGGACCTTCCCGTCCGTGACATGGCCGATCGATGAGCAGTTTCCTCGCTTTCTGACGCCCTCGAGGCGTCCCTGGAGACCCTTAAACTCTTCCTTCCTTCCTTCCTTCCTTCCTTTCTTTTCTTCCTTTCGTCCTTCCTTCCGTTTTTTCTGTCTTTTCTTCTTTCTTTCTGTCTTCTTTCCTTCGCCCCCCAACCTTCTCACTTTTTCCGAAGATAAACGGAGATCTACGGAGGCGTCTCGACATTAAGGATGCATCATCGTCAAGACTCCTCTAGCGCCCCAACGATTCAAGAGATGGGAATAGCACCATGCTTCCGATATCGTCTCGAATTAGACAGAAATGAAATTACCCAAGCCAATAGAAGCGGCTCGGTAAACTTGGAACCAACATGAGATAGATTTTATTGGAGACAGTGCGCCGGTGTTATCGGTTATCTCGTCCAGCGTGGACTCGACAGACGATCGACGACTTATCCCTTTGCCTCCTCTATCCTTCGCAAAAGTTCAACGGGAAAATCGCCATCTGTCGAAACTTCTTAATCCCCAACGTTAAATATTTGATATTTGATTATTCGTAGGATCACAGAGCTGGAAGCGTTAATCCTTTGCGATCCTACATCAAGATTATCCCCAGTCAATCTAACAATTTTATCTAATTTTTTACGCTAATGTTGTACAACAAACATACCGTTGTTTTAATTAGATGTTGAAATGTCGAGAGAAATGCGAACTACGCAACGATGATCTCGCGAGGCGAGTGGATTTTTACGAAACTGTTGGAAAAAACGTTAAAGATAATTTATAATGTTAAAGATAATTTAGATCATATAGGAAAAAAGATTGATTGAATTAACGTGACAACGACACAACCACTTGACTGTACAAATAGAATATTATATATTTTTTTCATATAAATTCTTTTCAATTTTACTATATTTTTGGTAGATGTAACAAATTTCGCTAGAAATGCAGCACATTTTTAATAGTAAATTTCACACGAAAAAAAGAGCTTGTTTGGATTAAACCAATTTCTAGTAAAATATGAACGAACTAGAAATTTCGGCTAAAGAGTTATCAGAGTTATGTTCAAGTTAGCAAGATTTCTGGTTAACTTGAACAGGATTCTAGTGATATCAGCCGAAATTTTTTGGTTCGCTCATATTTCACTGAAAATTGGTTAATCCAATTAAAGTTTTTTCCATGCAATTCATAAAATAAAACTAACACATATGAAATGAGAAAATAGTCAATTACAACAGAATGTCGATTTATTTCTCGCGGTTACAAAATCCCATAGTAAATTTTACTACAAAATTCTCTCCGCGTAGAAATTTAACCCATTTATCCTGATCAGATTGATACCAATCAATGTACATCGGGTCCTGATGAATCATGTAACGCTGACGATCATATGATGATGACATCGGAACTATATTAACAATAATGATCATTAATAATTAAAATCTTGTATTAATAATTAATACCGAATGACATCATCATATGCAAAGCAGATAATTGATTGGAATCAATCTAGTCAGGACCATGGGATAAATTTCACATGGAGTAAATTCGCTTTGTTTGAAGAAGATAAAATTTCGAGTGGTAGTATTTTCACTATCGCTTCCAGTGGAATATTCCGATTAAGATACCTCAACGCATCTGATAGTCGATACCGAGACATTTAGTTGTAGGCATCTAGACAGTTTGGTAATTCTCTCTAGACGTGTGGTACTATAAACGCGATAGTTAATTGTTATTCGTTGCGACGTTTCTTTTTTCATCTATACTAATTTGTAAAGACGTCGGTGCTATAAAAGAATGGACGCTGAAACCGTCAGATATTGGAAAAATGGAATTTCTCAAAATATGTCGACAAATTTAGAAGTAAATCTATGAAGATTATATGCAATAAGTATATGAAAATTATATATATAATTGTATATATATAACATTCACCAAATTATATGCTGTACCAGATGGTTTGGTAAACATATTTAAGCATCACTGTAATGCTACTTAGACAATGCGCTCACCAGATAGTTTGGTATCATTGACTAAATATCTTGTTACATGATTATTGACCATATCGTTTCCATATCGTTACCATATCGTTACCATATCGGTAAACCTAAATAGAATTCTGGTTTTTATCTTCAAGTGGAACTACCACTTCTTATCTTCGAATAGAAAGATATCCATTATCACTGCTTTCTCGTTTAGACTGAGATTCCACTTCGATTTGACTTCGAATCATGAAGAGTAAGAACCGAATTCTTCATCATACATCAACCTCAAACATAAACCTAATCGCGTTGAGCTGTATCATTGTCGTACTAATTCGAACATTTCTTTTCTCCGTGCGCAATGCATCAAAATCTTCGAGAAGCTCGGTTGGAAGTCTCCCGGAGTTTCGTATTTACGCTAACCTCTCATCAATCGAGATACCCGTCGTTTGTTGCGTTTTTTGTCACCGGCTAACTCAGTCATCGTTCGCGTGCCGCTTTTAAAAGTCCCATCACGTACGTCGGAATATTTCTACGTAGCCGGCGCGCTTCGCCCAGCTTTCCGCGCCGCTTTCCGCGTGCCCGCCATTGCACCGGAGATAGCTCAGCGCCTGGCGATAGCGAGCGAAAGATTTCCTCCTCCGGATTCCATCTGCTGCCGCCGCCGCCGCCACCGCCGCTTGCCGTTGCATAGCCGGCGAAGCATTTCCGTGCCAGGTGCAGGCACCATCGGCCGATCCGCCGCCGCCGTATCGACGGTCCCGGATGAGTCACGTCAGATTTATGCCGCTCCGGACGTGGCGGGAATTCCATCTAATTCCGGCTGATCGGAACATACTTACGTACGCACGTATGTATGGAGGGAGGAATGCTCTTCACGTGGTGTGTCGCGCTCATCCGTAACCATTATCCTCGTGGCCGCGCTTCCTCGAGCCTCTCGACGTACCCGCTAACTCCAACGTCACGCACTCGACTCCCCGTATGTCTGGTTGCGCCTCGAATCACAGAAGCGCTCGTATCTTATCAAGGCCACTAAAAACCTCATCGCGCGCTGCTTCGTGATTTCGCGCAGAACGACGCGCGTGTAAGAGAGGGAGAGAGAGAGAAAGAGAGGGGGGAGTGAGAGAGAAGAACGTTAGATCGCGGATTGCACTCGTAGCGGTTGGTAGCCGACGTGGCGGACCCGGAAATTGCAACTACAACCGGGCCAGCTCGTAAACTCGGCGAAACTCGCTGACGCTCTCGCAAAACGAAGGGAGAGAGAGAGAGAGAGTGTGTGTATGTGTGTGTGCGAGTGAAACGAAGGAGGTTGGAAGGTAAACGAGAGGTGGTCCTGCGGGGATTAAGCCGCCATCGTAATTTCTTGCCGCGTCCGAAGGACGCGTCGTAAACTCTAAGTGAATTAGAACGCAAGAGCGCAGAGTACCGTGGGCTTGTCGCAAATTCGTCGCGTTCATGCCCGTCGTTTCCGATTTAGAGGTTGGCAATGAAAGGAAAAAAAGATCGAGATAATCGAGAGGTGCTGAGGAAAAAGAAGAAAAAGTCGATCCACCATCTCGAGGTGAGCAGGAGTGAAAGAATCGCTTTCCTCGGAGGAAAGTAGTAATCGTACGTAGCGACACCATTGTTGCAGCCGGTGGTCGAATTGGTGGGCGACTTCGAGGCGTGAATCGTCGCCGCGATTAGACGGTTGATTGAGCCGCTAATCGTCCGACGGCTCTCTCGATTACGGGGACGTAGCACTGGCCAGCCTAGTAATAGCCTCCCGCAATACGCAGTCGATGGATAATTGATTCGCGGACGTGTGCACATAGCGCGACATTCCGGAGAACGCCTCGGCGTTAACCGCGAGTCGCCGGTCATGAAACGATTAGCGTTTGATGCGCTATCAATATTAAGTGGTGTGATGTGTGAGAACGAGTGAAACTGCTGCGAGCTCGTGTAAATTTTACACCGCGAAAAATTTGCTGTTAATTTCGCACGAGGCAAATACGTAACAAAATAATACAAATAGTATGTCGAAAATTGACACAAAAGTGCGACATTTGTGCGACACTGTCATGTTATTTTAACACTTAAAAATGGCGAATCATGAGAATCTCAATGTAGAATAGTTAACGAATAACACGACGACGATATGTTAAATTAATACACAGCTATGTCAGAAACTTAACACAAAGGATTCCACACGGATCGACTTCAATTCGCGCGCACCGATATTCGTTCTTCAATTTTGAACGAAGATCTTCACTCGACGATTCCGAGCGGAAGATACGCATGAGCGAGTAGTCACTCGACCTTCGAGTGCCTCGGCTGTCACTTCACTTCTCGAGTCAAAGACGCTTAGAGAATACTGCCGACGAATCTTTAATAATGCATTCCAGTGATGCATCTCTCCTTTTATGTTCGCACCTTTCTTGCGCAGATACGCGGACCGTTCGTACAGAAGCCACCCGCGCGGTCTGATCATCTACGGGCCAGTGACCGTGCCGAGTTTGTTCGGCGCTGGCAATGCGACTTCCACGACGGCGATACCCCCGATACTGGCTAAAGGCGTCTCCAATTCGTCCAGAAGCGAGCCCGCGCCTACTCGCAACCCGGCCAACGGTGGGACCGCGCGAGAGCTCTCGGTGGCGACCAACGCGACCAACAGCAACGCGACGATGATGCCACGATGTCCTCTCATCCCGCCGAACTTGGGTGAGTGTCTTGAGAGAAAGATGCGTCAAGCAGCACGACGATGTACCACCTGCTTCTTTCTCACCCGCTCCCTTGAACTCTCCACACCCTTGGTGCTGTTCCAGTCGGACCGTTGGCTGTCAGTAAATTACCACCGCCGTCGTTGTCCGAGATGGAGAAGTCGTTCGCGGAGGTGAAAGCGGGCGGCACGGGTCGACCGGCGGACTGCGTCGCCCGGCATCGAGTCGCCATAATCATTCCGTTCCGTGACCGTCTGCAGCATCTGCAGGCCCTCCTCTATAACCTGCACCCCATTCTGCTGCGCCAGCAGATCGACTATCAGATCTTCGTGATCGAGCAGGAAGGTGAGTACGAGCACTACGTCGTTATACCGATTTGGCCGGTCGCCCGCGGCTTCTCCTTATCTGTCTTACGCGAATGGTTTTCTCCATGCGAAAAACCGTGACATTTCGTTCTCCTTCAACTCGTAGATACGTCTGGGATATATCTGGGATACAGATAAGAAGTTATGGGAACCTCGACAAAAATACATATATAAATATAAGTGAATAAATATAGATTGGATGTGTGTGTGTGTAAATAAATGAATATATTTATTTATTTTTTTACATTTATGTACTTATATACAGGGTGTCCTACAATTCGTTACGCGGTGTAGATAGAACTCATAAAACTGAACACAAAATTCCTAAATATCGTCCAAAATACCGTTTTGCAAACGATAAAATTTTAAATTATTAATTAAAGAAGATCGATGTATGATCACGCGCGATACGGTAGATGAGCTGTGATGGCGACGCTTGCCACCATGTACATACACTGACTCAAACTGAACATTTTCCAAATAACCACGTGGATTTCTAAGTTACTAATTAAAGAAGATTTGTACATCATCGGACAATCATGCACCAGTGTATTCAGTTTATGAGTTAACTCCTATCTGCACACAACGAGTGTGTCAATAATTGTCGCGCACACCCTGTATGTATCTCTTGCAAAATGTATCTCGAGAAATGTCTTGTAACTTTTTATTTTTGAATGTCCTAGATACATAGGACCATCGTGTGCATTGCGGTGTTTTGATAGCATCAGCCATGGCTCACGGTTTGTTTCCCTAGGGCGAATGTAAACGTACCTAGCTATCTACCTATCTACCTACCCACCCACCCACCTACCTACCTACCTACCTACCTACCTACCTACCTACCTACCTATCTACCTATCTACCTACCTACCTCCCTGCCTACCTACCTACCTATTTACCTACCTACCTACCTACCTACCTACCTACCTACCTACCTACCTACCTACCTACCTACCTACCTACCCACCCACCTACCTACCTACCTATTCCGTACACCCTCGCGAGATTCTTCTCGCTGGCACCGTTACTCCCGTCGGTGCGTGTAAGCCGATACTTTGCCACGATTTATTGCCGTCTAGCGGACGTTCCTCTTGCTCGCGTATTTTCCTCCGCTCCGTTCTTTCCTTCACCTTTCCCTTTCTCTTTCTGTCTCCATCGCCCTTCCTTCACTTTCTTCTTATTTCTCGTCTAGCGGAGGACCTTTCTTGTGGGAGGAAAATGCCGAAGAGCGAAGAGCGCGAGTCTGGATGTCCTCTGAGAGAGAGGCCCCTTTAAAGTTTCCCGTTCTCCTCCCCCCGCGGTCTCTAAGCTTTCTGACTTAATTTTTAATTAAATTTGTGTACCACCGGCCTTCCCTCTTCTCTTTCTTTATATATCTCCTCTCCTTCTCTCTCAATCTCTCTCTTTCTCCTTCAGTCATTCATTCTTTCTCTTTGGCGTTTTCCTCGCCCGAGTAATCGACCGACCGAGGCAACGAGCGCTTTTGAGCGCGACACGAAATATTTTCTCCGACGTGGCACAGCATCGTCGCACAGCCAACGTTGCCTATTCTTTAATGAAACTTTCGGACTTTACGATCTGTCTCGCGTTCGTTCGTTGATTCGGCACGATTCATTAAGCGATAAGCACTATTGTGCCTTCCACCGCGTGGAAGAAAGGTCTCGCGCAAACTTTCCCACGGAAGGAGATTACAGATTTTTCCACAGCCGAGATATAAAATTTATCATTCTATTCGATTATTCAAGAACACTATTTATCTCAGCTATTGGGAGAGACTCTCGGGCGGGAACGCAATTTATCTTCATTAAAATCGCAGAACGCTCGACTAAGTTTGTTTACTTAACGTATGCGAGACGTCAGAATGTGACTATGATTAATTCTCTTGTTATTCTGCGCGGCTTCCGTATACTTCCGGCGTATGGTGTGCGATGAATTTATGTCGCAGATGGAAAAGTTGCTTAAAGGAACTTTTAATTAAATCGTCGAACTTAATTTCGATATGCATATACGTCGCGTCTCTCTTTCTTCCTTTCTTCCTTCCCTTGTTCCTCCCTTTGTCCCCGCGGATTTATAAAACATTCCAACGAGAATTTGCAGCGGAAGTTTGCAACGCACGCGCGCGTTTATAATTAACGTTACTTGCGATATCACGATGTAATCGACATTAACTTTCGTCGTTGAAATTCAAGTCGGAAGCCGCGAAACACTGTATTATTCGTATGTAGCGTGTTGCTGTCTAAAGGGCTGTATCGATTCTACGTTCGGTCACTTTGTTTATTACTTTACAACGATTTGCGATAGTTCCAATGGACGATATTACCTCCTGCATCGGGCTCATACATTCGAAACATGTCTCGAAATTGTCGAAGCAATTTAATATGATTTCCGCTGAAAAGTTTTGAACGCGCTACTCCCGATGGAATTCTAAATCCGATTTCGTTCACGTTTCTCCGCTCAGTATGCAAACGAATACAAAAAGGAAATAGAGAAAGAGAGGGTGTGTGTGTGTATATGTATGTGTCTGTGTGTATGAGAAAGAAAGAGAGACAGACGGTCGTTGTGCAATTTTCTTTGTTTGTAGTCAAGCGACGGAAAGTATCGAACGGAAATTAACGATTATCGTGTAGACATTTATGAGTATAGTTCTTTTATAGCAAATTAGGATCAACTCGTTCCTCAGATATTATTTTATTGCAATAATCACATTGATGGAAAAAATATCTAAAAAGTAAAAAATATTTATTTGGTAGGCACTAATAACATACTTACTTAAATCTAAATTTTTTTTTATTTAAATAGAATAAACATAATTGCTTTTATAAGAAACAGGGATTTTAAGAAAATGTGTATTTTTTATTTGAAAAATGTTTTATACATTAGTATAAGTAAATATGTTATTATATAGTGCCATCAAATAAACATCTGCTCATTTTAGCTTCAGCAAGGTAATAGTTAAAAGTTTTAACAAAATAATCGACTCGTTACGCTAATCGCGTTAATTTCATGTTATTAATACCTATTATGGACTCCTGTAATTCTTCCGTACTAAACGAGGAGGAATTCACACTTTGTTGTAGCGACGTTTTACTGCTAGTTTCCCTTAACGCTAATCGACTTCCACGTTAATCTCGTGAAAGGTACGATAACATTATTATTCCGTTCCGATTCGAGTTCGAGAGACGGGCCCTTCGTTGTGCAAGTATTTCAATCGGATCTCTGTTACATCCTATTAGCACTAATTAACAATAAATCGCGGAGCAATCGATTTCCACGGTGATCCAAGAAGCTCGCGTAATGTCATTACTGTTCCTGTATCAAATCAGACGAAGGAGAAGGACTCTTCTCTTGAGTAGAAATCGCTGTAGGCACCGCTCTTACGAGCCCTTAATCGCGTTAATTCGTGGATCAGAAGTCGACGAGTAATTGACTTTCGCGGTGACGTCACGGGAAATCCGACGTCGTGCTCGTTGCTTCCCCGTGAGATTCTCGTCGTCTCTCGGAACTAGGAGGAATCGCTCGCTTCCCTCGCTCCCTCTTTCTCTCCGCGCTCCGCGGAGTTATTTCAATCGGCTCGCTATTGCACCCTTAATGGCGCGAATTTACGACAAATCGCCGGGCAATGAATTCCCGCGATAATTTAACGAAGGTAATATTTCACCGGGCCGGTGCGATTAATTACGACGAAACAGCAACGATTTATCCCCGGCGCGAGCGCGCGATCCTTAGAAAATGCGCCGAACTGTTATTCACTGTCAGGCCCCCGCGCGCAACCTCCAAGACCTCGCGTAAGTCAGACTTAAGCGCTATCTAATCCCAAAGCCGAAGGAGGACCGGCTACCACCTTCCTGCAATGCGGTATACCGTGAACAACCTTAGTTTACGGTTTACACGCACACTTTATGGGACGTGAACCAGCTCGGTAGACACTAAAAAACTTGAAGAAGTTTTTTGGACTAGAAAGGGTTTTTCGGCCGACCGGAAAACCACGTTTAAAAATTCAGGCAAATGCCACATCGACGCGTACGTCGCGACGAATTTTCGACACGCGCACCGAGAGAAAAAGACATGATGATGGAAACTACATAGGATGATAATCATGTGTAGAATTAATGTATATAGTTTAACCATCTATCTTATATTTATTGCAGCGAAAGTTTCGCAATAAAAAACACACAAAATAGTTTCTTGAGCTATATATACATTAGGTCTGCATACAAAACTCGTATGGTTGTATATTTGCCATCAAGATAAAAGCATTAATTCCCGTGCACGTATCTAATTCTGGACATTCTTGTCGTCTTGGTCTCTAAATATGAATGTTTAAACTCTCAACATGGAATATGTGTACATATTCAATATATGTGTACAAGATGTTCCAGTTCTTTTGCGATATTAATTAATATAGCAGGATACTTGAACTCAAGTAGAGACGAAAATTCTAACGCAGAATATCGAGGCTATAATTTTTAAATAAGAAACGTTTCAAGTGGACAAATCACAAAGCTGAAAGTTCGCACACTAAAATATCTAAGATAGCAAATATATATATATATATATAATGGATGATTGCTCGCGGGCCTATCTTATAGGCCAGAGAGGTGGGCCGTTTGGGATCCTGAAATGAGTAGCTCCATGTGTGCGTCCGTGTACGTGTGCGTTCTTCCATTTTCTTCGCCAACCGCTACGAGCCGTATGTCCCGCCTGTCACATCGCGCGTTCTAATTTGTCCAACTATTTTAATTAATATCTCGAAATTTTACGTGGTTGTTTGAAAAATGACCTATATAATTTTTGTTCACTTTAATGTGTTCTACTTATATTTTTCTTTTGGTCCGTCTTACGCGGGACACCCTGTATATATATATATATATATATATATATATATATATATA